TAATCCCAGCAGTCTGGGAGGCTGAGGTGGGAGGACCACCTAAGGTCAGGAGTTCAAGACCAGCATGGCCAACATGGCTAAACCCTGTTTCTACTGAAAATACAAAAATTAGCCGAGTGTGGTGGCAGGCACCTGTAATCCCAGCTACATGGGAGGCTGAGGCAGGAGAATTGCTTGAACCCGGGAGGCAGAGGTTGCAGTGAGCCCTCCCCTGCACTCTAGCCTCAACAACAAGAGTGAAACTCTGCCTCAAAAACGAAAACAAAACAAAACAAAAAACACCACATCAGAGGAGTTAATAGAGAATGACTTAATGGGGATGAGGGCTTCTCAACTGGTGCCAGATGATGAGGAAGAAAATGCTGAGGAAGGGGTGCCTGAATTAACATTAGATGATCTGGTAGAGGAGTTCCAATTATTCAAGATGGCTTTTGCTTCTTTGGTGACACAGACCCTTGTATTACATGGGCACTGAAATTAAAGCAAATAGTGAAAGGAAGATTGGTATGACACAGAAACATTTTTAGAGAAACGAAAAAGCAAAAAGTCAGAAAGAGATTACAATGTATTTCTGTAAAATTACAGTGAGTGCGCCTGCCTCTCCATCTCCTCCGTCTCTTGCACCTCTGCCGCTGGAGACAGCGAGACAAAACCCTCCTCTTCCTCCTCCTCAGTGTACTCAGTGTCAAGGATGAAAACTTTTATGTTGATCCATTTAACAAACAGTAAATATATTTTTCTTTCTTATGATTTTCTTAGTAATTTTTTTCTCCTCTAGCTTACTTTATTGTAAGAATATAGTGTATAATATATATTACATACAAAATGTTAATCTATTGTTTGTGTTAACAGCTTTAAGGCTTCTGGTACTTTAGGCTATTAGTAGGCTATAGTAGTTATGTTCTGGGGGAATCAAAAGTTACATGTACATTTTTTTAAGAATTCATAAAATGTTTCATAAATTTGCATGTCATCCTTGCACAGGGGCCATGCCAGTTATCTCTGTGTCATTCCAAATTCAGTATATTTGCTGCCGAAGTGAGCACACGTGGATTTCTCACTATACAAGTCAGTGCCACTAACCCCGGCAAAGTTCAAGGGTAAACTGTATATAATTTCACCCTTAAATATTTCAGCATATGTCTCTAACAGATGAGGACCACTAAAATTCCTCACAAAATGTTTTTTATTTATAAGTATGAATGATTATCATAGGGATTAATATACATTTTTAACTTATAATTGACTTCACATTGATAATGATAATAAAACATAGTAATTTTTCCCCAATATAGTTCCATATCTTCTTCCCTTCTGTGTTACCCTTGTCACATATATGTTATAGTTCCATATCTTCTTCCCTTCTGTGTTACCCTTGTCACATATATGTTATAATTATGTTATAATTATATAATTATTGATTTAAATCAGGAGTATACAACTTTTTGGCTTCCCTGGGCCACAAGGAAGAATAATTGTCTTGGACCACACATAAAATACACTAACACTAACAATAGCTAAAGAGCTTTAAAAAACAGCAAAAATATCTCATAATGTTTTAAGAAAGTTTACAAATTTGTGTTGGGCTGCATTCAAAGCTGTCCTGGGCCACATACAGCCTGCGGGCCACAGGTTGGACAAGCTTGATTTAAATAATTTCATGTTCTTTTAAAGAAATTAAGGAAATACACACACACACACACACACACACACACACACACACACACACACACACAGTCTTTTATATCCACTCAAATCCTTAACATTTCAGATTTGTGCTCTTCATTCCTTTTTTTTACTTTTTTGAGATGGAATCTCGCTCTGTCACCCAGGCTGGAGTGCAGTGGCATGATCTCGGCTCACTGAAACTTCTGCCTCCGGGGTTCACCAATTCTCCTGCCACAGCCTTCCAAGTAGCTGGGATTACAGGCATGCGCTACCATACCCAGCTAATTTTTGTATTTTTAGTAGAGACAGGGTTTTGCCACATTGGGCAGGTTGGTCTTGAACTCCTGACCTTAGGTAATCCACCTGCCTTGGCCTCCCAAAGTGCTAGTATTACAGGCGTGAGTTACTGTGGCTGGCCCATTCCTTCTTCTTTCTTTCTTCATTCCTTCTTGTGGATTCGTTTTATCACCTTGTGTTATTACCTATGGCTTGAAGAACTTCTTTTTTTTCTTCGAGATGGAGTCTTGCTCTTTTGCCTAGCTGGAGTGTAGTGGCATCATCTCGGTTCACAACCTCCACCTCCTGTGTTCAAGTGATTCTTTTGCCTCAGCCTCCTGAGTAGCTGGGACTACAGGTGTGTGCCACCATGCCTGGCTAATTTTTGGATTTTAGTAGAGACAGGGTTCCACTATGTTGGCCAGGCTGGTTCAAAACTCCTGAGCTTGTGATCCACCTGATTCTGCCTCCGAAAGTGCTGGGATTACAGACATGAGCCACTGTACCCGGCTGAAGGACATCTTTTAATATTTCTGGTATGGCAGATCTAGCAACAGATTCTCCAAATTTTTCTTTTTTGTTTCTCTGGTAATTGTTTTTCATAACTTCATCTTTGGAAGATAATCTTATTGGATTTATAATTCTTGGTTGGCTACTTTTGTTGACTTTTACTGAATATGTCATTCCATTGTCTTCTGGCCTCCACTGTTTCTGGTAAGAAGTCAATTGTTAATCCCATTGCTATTGCCCTCTACATTAGTTTCTCTCTTGTTGCTGTCAAGATTTTTGTCTTTGTCTTTCAACAATTTGACTATGTTGTGTCTACTATGGGTGGAACTTCTGGTTTATTTGGGTTTTGCTAAACTTCTTGAATCTGTAAATTCTCTCTCATCAAATTTGGGAGGTTTTCAGTGATTATTTCTTCAAATATTTTTTTCTGCCTCTATCCCTCTTCTTTCCTTCTGGGACTCCTGATACACATATTTTGGAGCATTTGATGGTGATCCACCCATTTTTGTGGCCCTGACAATATTTCTTCAATGTTTCTTCTTCTCCATTCTTCAAAATGGATTTCTATTAATCTTCATATTCATTGTTTCGTTCATCATCTTAAATCTGCTAATCAACATCTAGTGAATTTTAAATTTCTGCATTGTACGCCTCACCAGAAATTCCATTTGGATTTTCATCATTAAGATTCTCTACTTCTTGTTTTCATATTTTCCTGTAATTATTTAAACATATTTATCAAAAGGCTTCTGAAGTCTCTGCCTACTAAATCCAACACATGGGCCTACTGAGAAGCCATTTCTATTGTCTGCTTTTCTTCCTGAGTATGGTCGCATTTTGCTGTGTCTTTGCATGGTTGTAATTTTTGTTGAAAGTAGACATTTTTGGATAATACAGTAACCATGGATTTTAACTTGACTTTTTTTTTTTTTTGAGACAGAGTCTTGCTCTGTTGCCCAGGCTAAAGTGTAATGGCATGATCTCGGCTCCCTACAAGCTCCGCCTTCTGGGTTCGAGTGATTCTCTTGCTTCGGCCTCCTGAGTAGCTGGGACTACAAGCACATGCCAACCTGCCCAGCTAATTTTTGTATTTTTAGTAGAGATATGGTTTCACTGTGTTGGCCAGGTTGGTTTCAAACTCCTGACTTCAAGTGATCTCCCAACCTGGCCTCCCAAGTGCTAGGATTACAGGAATGAGCCACTATGCCTGGAAAATTGCAATTGTTAACTATAGATTTTAATTTTTTTTAATTATAAAAGTTTCCATTTTTTTTAAAAGAGAATCTTCAATGCAAACTGTATATATAATCTGCTTCCCCCATAGTATGTTACTTCTGTTATCTCTGCTCAGAATTTTTATTCTTACTTTTGTTTTTTAACCTGTCTTCCTAGAAGTCCTTATTGCGTTTCAATAGATTAGGAGTCAACGAATCATTTGGGCAGAGGCTGTGTTCAAATATTGCAATATTTGTGGCTTCAATAAGGCTTCCTCCCCTCTGAGAAATGATCTGTTGTTGGTTAGGGAGCACATTCAAATTCACTCAGTTCTTAGATTTCGCTTGACTTTTACTTTCCATTAATTTCTCTAAGGTTTCCCGAGAAGCCATTTCTATTGCAAAGGATGTACAGAGAGCACAACTAATCCTTTTACAGCTTTCTCATTTTTAAGATTTTTCAGTTAAATTTTCGGCTGGTCCAGTACTCTTACCACGACCCTAGATGATTCAAACTGTAGGTTTTCCCTGTTTGTTTCTACCAAATTCACCACTTCCAATTAACAAAAGCTGTGGGCTTTTATTATTTGTCCATGTTAAATCCATTCTAACAGTAAAGCTTCCGGTTTTTGAAGCCAGTGTCACTCTGGTAACAAACTACAGATCTTACTGACCATGCATGTGGGTACATGTATATTGGCAAGAAGGCCACAGACTTCTGCTTTTACCTGAAGCTCTATCACTTTTTCAGGAAAAAATATTTCTCAATGTGTTTTTTATCTTTGGGGAATTTCCAGAGCCCTGATGTAATGTTTTTGATAACACATTCCAGTTTTATAGCTGCTCTTTGCAGAAGGATTGGCCTTTCTCTTCAAATCAACAGAGACAGGAGTCTCTCCATCTATGATTACCTCAACTCATCTTTAATATATATACCTGTATTATTAGTGCCATATTACAGATAAAGAAACTAAGGCACACACAAAAATCATTCATCTATCTAAAGATTATATAGCTGCTAAGTAGAAGAACTTGCAAACTAGGCATTTTGCCTCCAGAGCCTTTATGTACTTTTAATAGATATAAAAATATTTAAAATACCATGTAAGTACAATAACAGAAGCAGATACAGGTGCTATGGTAGCATACAGGAAAGAATCTATTTTTGGAACCTGAGTATAGCAGACAGGATACAAAGATGAAGCACCACAGTCCATCATTTATAAAAATACCATGTTTTTTGGGATATAAATATCAGTAAAATTTCCAAATATTTAAGACAGTTAATTGCATTAAAAGCCTTTTCGTAGATTTCTCACTAATGCAACTTACTCTCTTGCCGGTACCCCTTCCCACTGGAGGATGTGCCTCAGCAGCTTGTCGAATTGTACAAACCATTAGCTCTATAAGAGCACTCTCCTGACGATCAGACATTGCTAAGGTGAAATAAAATACATGAGCATGAGTAGACAGTTTTACAATAATCATGTATTAAAAATGAACACATTATTAAAAAACAAAGTATTCTATTACTGCTTAAAGGCTAAAGTTAAGCTCTGTACTTTGCTCTTTTTTTTTTTTTTTTAAAAAACAAAAGTAATATGTGCATCCCGTCCTAAGTCAAACAGGAAAGAGATACAAAGTAAAGAATTAGAGGATAACTCTGGTCTCTTCTAATGCTACCTTTCTGAGTTAGGCAATACTAAAATTTTGGGTTTCCTTCCACATAATTTCAAAACTCATATAATAGGATTTTTCTTTTTTGTTTAATAAAAAAGACTATGCCATATGTTTTAAAAAACTTAACAGACTTAATACTTTTCAAGTCAACACACACATAAAATAATTATCTTAATAAATTACTATATAATGCATGTATCTTGATTTAGTCCGTCTTCTACTTAAGGTCATTCAAACAATTCCCTGATTTTTGACACTGAACAATGCTGCAATAAACATCATTAATAGCTATATATTTATGTAACTGATATTTATTTCTGTACAATAAATTCTCCAAAGAAAAAATATGGATTCAAAGGGCAAGATCTTGATATTGACACATCATAAGACCATTTATTATAATTTATGCCCCAACTGCAATGTTATGAATGTTTGGTTCCTTATATCCCTGTCAGCATTAGATGCTATAAAATGTTTTAATTTTTGCCAGTCCAATGGTTGAAAAGGGCTATTTGGTTATTATTTTGCTCCTTCTTACCTATTAATTAGTTGTAGTATATATTTTTCCCTCTAAGATTTGTCTATGTTTATTTTTCGCCCATTTTTGTGCTACTATTCACCTTTCTTATGAATTTGTGAACTCTTGTATGGCAGGGGTAGTACTTTTTATCTTTACAATGATGCAAGTATTTTCACCCAGTTTGTCACTTGTTGTCAGACTCTTCATGGTATTTTTTGTCAGACAGAAATTGTTAGTTTTTACAAAGTCAAATCTGTCTCCTTTCATTTTATAGCTTCCAGGTTTCTTGTACTGCCTGCAAAGATCTCTCTGTCCTGGAGATTACACTAATAAGTTCTTCATTTTCTTCTAATTTCTTTCTCTCACTTTTGCTGTCTAGTGTGCTTGCTTGCTCTTTTGCTCTTCCTTCCTTTGACTTTTTCTGTCTCTCCTGCTTGCTCACTTTTGTATTTTTAAGCTATTTGGCATTTATTTCTGCTGACAGTAGGTGGGCCTGTTTATTCCCACAAAATAGCCAGTTTGTCTCCACCACTGTTAAACCAGATTTCCCTTTTCAATTTAAATGTCATTTTTAAACAGTTTTCAGGCTCTCATATATCCCTTAGACCTATTTTTGGATTATTTATATAGTTTCACTAATCTATTTGTATATTTTTGTGAAAATGCTTTACTGCTTTCATTATACTAGACTTAAGGTGTACTTTGTTATAATATGTAACTTAATTCAACCAACTTGAATATATAAGCAAGTTTCTCTTATCTAGTCCTTTTTCTAAAATTTTGTGTAATTTCTATAATGCTAATAGCAAATAATTTATTAAAATTTTTCTATGTCTAAAGCACTATCATAAGTGGCTTATATGTAATAACTTGTTTTATTGACAAAACAATTCCAAGAGATAGAAATTAATATCCTCACTTTACAGACAGGGAGAATGAGGCACGGAGAGATGGGCTTAGCTAGCAACAGAGTTAATATATGAACCCAGGTAGTTTGACTCCAGAGTCAGTTCTCTTAAGCATGAGGCTATACTGTCTTTTCAACATAAGCTTAAAATATTATATAAACATTAAAATCATTCTGCTTAGTTCCTATTCCCACCATGCCTTCCAGAATTCTGTCAAACCCACTGGAAATATGACTAGTACCATAAAAAAAATTATAACCTTTTCAGCTGGAAATATAATATAGCTTTTCACTTTTGGGATTTTAAGTCATTTAATTAAAACTATGGTTTCCTTCACATAGATTCCATATGTTCCTGAATTCATACTTTTATTTTTTTGAGACACAGTCTCACTCTGTTGCCCAGACTGGAGTGCAGTGGTGCGACCTCCACTCACTACAACTTCCGCCTCCCAGGTTCAAGGGATTCTCCTGTCTCAGTCTCCCAAGTAGATGGGATTACAGGCATGCACCACCATGCCCAGCTAATTTTTGTATTTTTTTTTTTTTCCGTAGGGACGAGGTTTCAACATATTGGCCAGGCTGGTCTTGAACTCCTGACCTCAGGTGATCCATCCACGTTGGTCTCCCAAAGCATTGAGATTACAGGCGTGAGCCACCGCACCCGGCCTGAATTGATTCTTACATTGTTTTTTGTTTCTTTTGAGATGGAATCTCACTCTGTCGCCTAGGCTGAAGTGCAGTGGTGCGATCTTGGCTCACTGCCACCTCTTCTGCCCGGGTTCACTCAACTCTCCTGCCTCAGCCTCCTGAGTAGCTGGGATTACGGGCGCCTGTCACTGCACCCGGGTAATTTTTGTAGTTTTAGGAGAGATCAGTTTTCACTATCTTGGCCAGGCTGGTCTTGAACTCCTGACCTCGTGATCCAACCACCCTGGCCTCCCAAAGTGTTGGGATTACAGGTGTGAGCCACTGTGCCTAGCTTTTTTTCTTTTTTTTCTTGAGACAGTTTTACTCTGTCACCCAGGCTAGGGTGCAGTAGCGTGATCTCAGCTCATTGCAATCTCTGCCTCTCAGGTTCAAGTGATTCTCCTGCCTCAGCCTCCCAGGTAGCTGGGATTACAGGGTGCCCCCTTGCCTGGCTAATTTTTGAATTTTTAGTAGAGTTAGGGTTTCACCTTGATGGCTAGCCTGGTCTCAAACTCCTGACCTCAAGTGATCCACCTGCCTTGGCCTCCCAAAGTGCTGGGATTCCAAGCATGAGTCATTGCACCTGGCCTAATTCATTCTTATGTATTTTTAAAGTCATATATATACAGACAGTGCTCGACTTACAACCACGATTGGTTCCGACAGACCGGTCGTAACACGATTTGGTCGTAAGTTGAGTAGGCTATATGCACGCGGAGATGGTAGTGCTGCCGGAAGCTGGTCTGCACTGTCGTACGCCCAGCTGGGCAACGTTTGCGCTGCCAGACGTGGTGCAGTCGTGGCTAGCAATTGTGGTCGTAAAGTCGAATGGTCGTAAGTTGCATAGGTCGTAAGTCAATCAATGCCTGTACACTTTTTTGAGATGGAGTCTCATTCTGTCACACAGGCTGAAGTACAGTGGCGTGATCTGGGCTCACTGTAACCTCTGTCTCCTAGGTTCAAGTGATTCTCCTGCCTCAGCTTCCTGAGTAGCTGGGATTACAGGCATGTGCCACCACACCCAATTAATTTTTGG